TAGTGTCGAGGGGGGCGTGTGACCGTGAATTCCCTACTGTGATCACACACTGCACCACCCAGGAGCTGCTCGCTTTCCTGACAGAGAAATGGAATATCTCTTTGAAGGCACCACGGAGGTGCCAGCCTGGAGATGATATCCTGTGAGAGTACAGTTTACACTCTAAGTGAATAACCATTATATATATGATGTTATATTCCTAACGGTTAAAATACAGGCTCATAGGAACCAAAGACTGGAAGTAGAAGTGGTCCCTTCTATCATCACTGCCAGCAGCCTACTTGGGAAATTTTACTTCCTGTGCCAGCCACCAACACTCTGAGATCTAGAAGTCCTGGCTCCTAGAGGGGAAATGCTTCCACAAGGGACAACTAAGAGCCTTTTCAGAGCTAGCTATGTGTGTCACTTGGTCATTCCTGGCTTTTTGTGCCAAGGAAAGGAGTCACCTCCCTGCTGTGGGTAGTTGACCCTGATCACAGGAGGAGGCAAGACTGCAGTGAGAACACCATCGAGGCTACATAGAAAATATAACCGACCTAATTAACAAGCTTGGTCTTAGAACCCCGTGTTTATCAAACAGTGCACAATTTTTTCCAGTATTCATAGAATATTTATAAAAATTGATGAATGTGAGACAAAACAAGTCTATTAAACACATGTCAGAGAGTTGATAACACATAGATCACTGGTTTCCAAACATTTTTGATCATGCCCCTCCATTGTTGTAGTTTGAGTTCCCAGGGAAGCAGACTCTGAGATGGAGGTGAGGGTGCAGAATGTTTAGGGGGTGCTCTTTCAACACCTGTGAAACAGAAGGGAAGGAAGCAGGAATGAGCAGAGGGAGAAGCTGAGCTGCAATGCCGTACCTCAGCACAACGTCCCTGGGGACTCCAGAGCTGTCAGTCCTTCAGAGTTGGAGCAAGAGGGTCAGATCTTACACTCCTGCGTTCAATAGTCACTGGATGCGATCTCCCTTTGGAAGACACTGTGACCTTGAGCAAGGCGATTCCCAAAGAAGGCCATTTTCTGGCAACATTCCTAGTAGCTGGGGGAACAAATATTTCATTCCTAAAAGAGGATCTAGAGAGTACATCACGTAAATTTTTAGTATACGTCTCTAATCTGTAGGATGTTTACAAAGTATACATTCTTACAATGATATTGACATATATGTATATTATAAAGCACAATAAAATAGAAATTTATAAAATATGAGGTAATGAAATAAACAATATCTTAAAACATTTTGCTAATAGATTATGCTTTCATGCTAACATCATAAATGGTAGGTGGTAAATCAATATTTTTTAATTATCTTGATAATTTCCATTTTTTTGTTGTGGTTGTTAACTTCTTGCCAGGTCTGACTAAAAGCTGGCTCCAGAACTACCTGTTCTGCCTTTTTTTTGTTGTTGTTGTCCACTTTTGCTTGCATTATTTTGTGAAGGTTAATTAAATTAAATTAAATTATTTAGTCTAAATATCTGCTTACCCCAGCATGCGTAATTTGCGATATTTCTCAATATGGTGAAAGCAAAGACAAAAGGGAGCATGCCGCTGTCAAGCTACCTCTCCGCGTTTCGGAACTCGCCCTCTTCCCTGAGGATTCTTCGTTCCTGGCATGGCTGCCTGAGAGGCAACCTGGTGAGGACAACACCATCATATGTACATAAATGCTCATTTCTTATTAGTTAGACAGAAATAGGTAGCAATAGTCATTCCAAATATTTTCTGTCTGCACCTCTATGGCCATGTTTCACACTGCCGTGGGTAGGGCACCCCATTTTGGAAACCTCTGATCTAGCGGGCAGAAAGTTGGTGTACCCCAAACTCAGCCCCCACCTCTGTTTTGGTCCTTGCTGAGAGATACTGCTTCTCGAATTATTCTTCCTTTGCACCATTGTACCTTTTCTTCTGATAATACGTACCATCTTTGTGAGAGTTTTTATAACTAAGTAGGAATCAATTTGAGGTTCAAGTAGGTCTGTACGACTGTTTCCTACTAAATGTCGATTTACTCTCCTCAGGCCCTTACTGGTATCTCCATGAACTGCCAACAACAATTAAATGTGAAACAACAGAAAAACTTATAAGCAATTCGACGTGGAGCTGAAAACCACATCACACTTGCAAAGCTTTTTAAAAAAACAAACAAACAAGAAATCCTGTTTAATGAGACTAGATTCTCAAACCTGTACATCAGAATTACCTATGACACTGAGAAAAACAAAACAAAAAACAAAAAACCCCACTAATTTTTTGACTCGACCTCTGTTATTTGGATTAGGATCATCTGTGAGTAATTAAACACCTACAGTAACACTGGCTTACCCACGATAGGAATTGGTCTCTCTCTGTCACACAAATGACTGTTGAAAAGGCGGAGTGGCAACTCTGCCTCATGAGGTCCTCAGGGTCCAAGCTCTTTACAGCCTTCTATTCTGCTATTCCTACTTAGGACATAACCTTGGTCCTTGTGGTCCAGTATAGTGGGTCAAACTCCTGCCATCACATCTGTGTTCCAGGCAGCAGGACGGAGGATACATTACCAAAAAAACCAAAAACAAAAAACAGGCAAAGGGTGCACGTCATCTGATTCTTAAGGTAGGTTCCTGAAAGCTGCCATGCGGCACTTCCACTTACATCCTATTGTCTGGATCTCAGTCACATGTTCACAACTGGTTGCCAGAGAAGCTGACAAATATATTGTATATTTTGAGCAACCAAATGCTCATCTAAAAACTTGGAAATTTATCACTACAGAAGGAGAGAAACAGTGAGGTTACAGACAGCAGTCTCTGCCAAAATGTACAAATCAACAACTCTCTAGGCCCCAGCAGGCTTCAGGAATCCAGCGCACTTACGATCTGGTTGGAGAAGGTTTTGTCCTACCTCATCCTAAGGATCTCACCTTATGGCTAGAATTAGCAACTGCTCCTGTTCGTGCTGCTTCCTCTCAGAGAAGGTGGAAAAACCCTATGAAATATGAACACAAGACAGATTGCATCAGCTCTCCTTGTAGCATCTCATCAGATACTTTCAGGTACTCCTTCTGCCAGGCTATTTTAAGTCTGGTGAAAGAGGACAAGTAAATATTACAACTGAAGTGCCCTGAAATCCTTTGAAGAATTAAAAGCCCAGTTAATCTTTCTCATGTTCTTTCTCAGGGTACTAAGGAAAAAAAATACTAAGAACAGACAAGATATAATCTTTTAAAAATTTTGGTCCCATTGGGGACATCAGTCTAACTGGAGACTTTCCCTTTGTTCTTGTCAACTAACTTTTGTTTAGACAGATACAGCAATAAACAGAGGGAAGAGCTTTTGGCTTGAAATCTCTATACAAAGTGCCTTGGAAACAATAGTGGAAGTTGCACAACTCTAGGAGGTGCGGTTCATGTTATTTTTATGAGGAGCAGCCCCTTGGACCACAGTATGAAATGGTGTCGCTCAGAGTTGTGTAATTCTGCTGTCCAGCCAGGAAACAGTGTCACTTCTCCGTTAATCTCAATATATGTATAAACTGGCAAGGTAAGTAGAAGGCACTGATAGTCCCAAGAATAGTCAAAGGCTGTTCTGTTCTTGTGGAAAGCTGCTTTTGAACATAGTTCAGAGAACTTGATTTATTTAAGTTTATCAATGGCTACCAGAGGATTCAAACAGTCTAGTGAGCCGGCAATATTTCTAACTTATAGGGGTCCATTTAAAGGACAAATTTAAGATCCTGGAAACTCCAGGTTCCCACAGCGCTGTAGAGTATGATTTGCATACACCATTCTGTAACATCATTACTCAGGGAGTTTAGGATCCCTCATTTTATCGCTTTCACACACACCTGTTCCTGCTGGAAATGAGTAAGTAGGTAGCAACCGCAGCTGCACAGTGCCCTTCCTGATTTACATAACGTCGTTAGTCTCATCTTTAAAGCTGGAATATTATGGCAAAACTTCAAGTGTGCTTCTAATACACCGTTCTCATCAGAGTCAATTACCATTAGAACACATTTTAAAAATGTCATCCAGAAGCTGTTTTTATTTTTAAAAAGATAGTTTTCAAGTTATTAACAACCACAATAACAAAAAGAACCTTTTAAGCAAGTGCACTTTTAAGGATGGGATTACATATCCTGGGAAGACTTCATCATATTGTATTATACAGGACCCAACAAATTAGAATTAGGTTTGCCTCCTTTGATATAAAGTAAAAATAAATAAATTTATATTTCTTCTTCCCATTTTATATATAAAGTATTGAGTCACAAACACGTATGACAATATGGTATCTCTTCTAAGAAATGCATTCAGATACATATACCACAAACATTAGCAGAAGATTCCAGGGATTATTGACTCATAAAACCTACTAATAGACACTCTAGTTTCAAAGCCCCGATTGAGAGGATAGTGTAGGGTGAAAATGAGTTTTAAGAACTCAGAATAAAATCCACTAACGGTCTAAAAAAGTTAGTGTGTGTGTGTTGAATGTTAATTTAAAAAGAAGTCACTTTGGAGGCAAAGTTACTACTTTCAGGGATCTTTTCTATTGATGTCTTTAATTTCAAGGACCAATTTACATAAACTCTAGCAACATACATCTTTAAAATTATTCTAAATTGAACTGCAATTGAAGACACACTCTAGGGGTGTTTTGGTTTTTTGTTTTTTTAAAGATTTTATTGATTTATTTTTTAGAGAGAGGGGAAGGGAGGGAGGAACAGAGGGAAACATCAGTGAGTTACCTCTTGCACACCCTCAGCTGGGGACCTGGCCCACAACCCAGGCATGTGCCCTGACTGGGAATCGAGTGGTGACCTTTTGGCTTGCAGTCTGGCGCTCAATCCACTGAGCCACATAGACAGGGCTGTTTTTCTTTGTTGTTTTTACAATGAAAAATATATTATTCATTCAAGACTTCTCTATCAGAACTTTTGAGTTTTGTTTGGGATCGCAGGTGAAAATATTTTGAAAAGCATCACACTGAAGGACAACAACTTGAGCCCACTTATTTATTTATTTATTCAAAACTTTATTGAGTCATAATTACATACCATATAATTAACCCATTGAAGCTCAATGTATTCTTCAGTAGATTCACCGTTATGTAACCATCATAATTTCAGAACATTTCCATTAATCCAAAAAGAAACCCTGTACCCATTTGCAGTCACTCCCCATTCCACACCCCCAATCATTCCAGCCTTAGGCAACCTCTAATCTGCTTTCTGTTTCTATAGATTTGCCTATTCTGAACATTTCATATAAATGTTCATATAATTTGTGGCCTTTTGTGACTAGGTTCTTTCACTTAGCAAAATATTTTTAAGGTCCATTAGGGTACAGCCTGTATCAGTACTTCATCTCTTTTTATGGCCAAATAACCTATTGTATGGCTATTCCACAATTTGTTTATCCATCTGTCAGTGATGGACATTTAGTATGTTTCCAATTTTGGGCTATTATGAATAATTCTGCTGTAAACATTTCTTTACCAGTTTTTTGCATTGACCAACCCCTCAAGATTTAACCACACAAAGCATTAAAAGAGAAGTCTTATAACAAAATTATACAAAATATTTTGGAACAATTTTAGATTTTTCAAGACTCAATCATTTTCATACCCAACATCACAAAGGCTTATCACAACAGGAAAACTGGCATCACTACAGAATCTAAATCGAACACAGATTCAGAGGAGGGTAGGTGTTCTCTGACATCCCTTCTTACACTAAGCCAACAACTTACTACTATCTATTATGTCTCAATGAATAGAAGAGTAAAGAAAGACCAGGACATGCCCTGATCTCGAGGAAATTATCCACAAATATTACTAAGCCCCTTGCAAGCAGCAAGCACAACTGTGCACGTGCGTGATGGGGCCCGGGACAGAAGTGACATACTGAGCATGACTTGCCAAGCTACTCAGAGTTCCCCATTCTGGTCTAGAGTACTTCCCAACTGTGTCTTGTCTACAACTTCAACTTTGCTTTGGCTTTGATACTTCAGCATCTGCATACTGCCTCTCGGGCAGCTTTTCCTGCTCACTCACAGAGACCTCACTGCTTACTCTACCCTGCCAACTCTCTCCATTCCACCTCTGAGACTATGGACTGAACTTGATCACAGGCATCCATGCTGGAATAATGCCCATCTGAACTTTAGGTCTGCCAAAGTCTGTGCAAGGTGCTCAGGGGAGGCACAAAGAATGTTTGTTGAATGAAGGATCCGTGAGATTTCCCATCAGTGCTATGTGTGTGAGGCTAAAGGGGGTCAGAATTAATTTATAACTTAGTAGCTTTTATCAGTTATTAATTAATTATATATTTCTCCAATGATAAAAGCATTTGGGAACCTCAACTTATTCCTGAGGCTCTCTTCTTAGCTATTAAAGTATTAACATGAGTTTATTCATTGGGATTGAAATAGTTTACCTGATAAGGACAGATTCAAAGGCAATAGGAAGCACATTACTGAATATTTGACCCATTAGAATCAACAGACAGAAGACCCAAAGAGGTAGTTTAGCTGATTATTTCTTTAGCTTTGTATTTCAAAGCAATCTTTTTTTAATTGAATTTTTTGGGGTGACATTGGTCCAAAAACTATATAGGTTTCAAGTTTACAGCTCAATAAAACATCATCTGCACACTGCTTTGTGCACCCATCACCCCAAGCAAGTCTCTTTCTGTCTGCAGCAACCTTACTTTGGACCTTTAGATTTAATTTCAATGAAATTCAGTGAGCACTACCTGCTGCCAGCATGTGAGTCATAACCTGAAAGGCAGAATCACAATTTACTGCTGGGGGGTCCTGCCAAGCTCTGCCATTCTCTTAGAGGAGGATTTCCTTGGGAAGCCAACTTTTTCAGATAGTTACAAGGCTCTAGTTGGGGAATATCAGGATCCTGCCTATAATATTTCTGCAACTTCTCTAGCACTGTGGGCAAACCAACTGTGGAAGCATAGAACATGGGCCCACCCTTGTGCCTTGGCCATCCATACCCATGTAAATACACAACATCAATGTGGTCTGGGCTAGCAGCTATCCCATCTTCCAAGATACGAAACGCTTCATTGATGAGTGAATATAAGCAGCGCTCGAGGATCTCTTCCTTGCTAATGACACGTGGTTGAATGCGATGGGTTTCTCTGTACTGTGACAGAAATTTGGAAATCCAGGGATCAGGTTTGTGAATCCTACCTAATGGCTTGTCATATTGGTACCAACCCTTACCTGTCTTCTGGCCAAATCGTCCTGCTTCACAGAGCATATCAGGAATTGGGCAATATCTCCTGTTGCCTCGCTTTCGGGCAGGAGTCCCTGGAGGCAACGTAGGTCCAGTAAGACCTCGCCCCTTTCGAGATCTCCAACCCACATCTAACCCAGCAAGATCAGACACTCTAAAAGGTCCCATTTTGAAACCAAAGTCTTCCAGCACCTCATCTATCTCCTCTGGTGTACTGCCATCTTCTAACAAGAAATGCGCCTGACTGTAATAAGGAAACAACATTCGATTCCCAACAAACCCAAAACAGTTGCCTACAACTACGCCAAATTTTTTAATCTTTTTTGATAAGTTCATAACAGTGGCAATAGTAGTGGGGGAAGAGTATCGGCTGGGAATAACCTCTAACAACTTCATGACATGAGCTGGTGAGAAGAAATGGGTGCCAATGACCAAGTGAGGCCGATCAGTGGAAGAAGCAATCTCATCAATGTCCAGGGCTGACGTATTCGTACACAAAAACGCTTCTGGCTTGCACACGGCTGACAGTTCAGCAAAGACCTGCTTCTTTAGGTTCATTTCCTCAAACACTGCTTCAATGACTAAATCTACACCACTAAGCTCCTTCATACATGTTGTTAATCTGGGTTTTGGTCCTGACCAAGGGTGGCTGCTTTGTTGCATTTTGGATCCTTCCTTTTCCAAGAGGGAGGTTATAACCCTGTTTGCAGTTTCTAGCTGCTTCTTGTCTGATTCTACAGCAATCACAGGAATCTTGGCCTTTGCAAGAGAAATGACAATGCCTCGACCCATTGTTCCCAAGCCTGTGGATAAGAGTAAAGGAGAAAAAAGTGATTCAATGGTATTGAGAACTGGAAAATGACTCAGTGTATGCAAGACTTCTGTGGCAATGTGGCATTTAAAGAGATCAATTCAAGGAACATAAATGGATTGAATACTAGTTAAGGCTAGCCACTGTGTTATGTGCTTTAGAGTATATCAAACACAGACACTATTAGAATTAATAAATAAGTTCAGGAAGTTACAGGATGCAAGGTCAATATACAAAAATCAATTGTATTTCTACACCCCAGCAATGAGCAATCTGAACATGAAATTAAGAAAACAATTCTGCTTACAATAGCATTAAGAAGAATAAAAAACTTCAGAATAAATTTAACGAAGAATTGCAAAACCTGTACACTAAACCCAGAAAACATTATTGAAAGAAATTAAAGACCTAAAAAAATGGAAAGAATCTCACATTCATTATTCAGAAGGCTTAGTATCGCTGAGATGGCAATACCACCCAAAATGACCCGCAAATTCAGTCAATCCCTATCAAAATCAAACTTTTTTTTTTTGCAGAAATTAACAAGCTAATCCTAACATGTGTATAGAAACACAAAGAATCCAGAATAACCAAAACAATACTGAAAAATGAGAACAAAGTTGGAGGACCCACTCTTCCCAATTTCAAAACTTATGACAAAGCTACAGTATTCAAGACAGTGTGGTACTGGCATAAGGATAGACATATGTATCAATGGAATAAAATTGAGTCTTGAAATAAATTTATATGCTTGTGGTCAATTGATTTTTGACAAGGGTTTCAACAAATGATACTGGGACAACTGGATATCCACATGCAAAAGAATGATCTGATAAGGAATTTGTATCAGAATATATAAAGAACTCTCAAACTCAACAATAAAAAAACCCTCAATTTAAAATTAGGCACATAGTCTAATGAAGAATTTTCCAAAGAAGGTATACAATGTCCAATAAGCATATAAAGAGATGCCTGACAGCAATAGTCATTAAGGAAATTCAATTTAAAACCACAGTGAGCTGCCACTTTATACTCACTAGGTTGGCTATAATTAAAATGACAATAACAAGTTCTCCCAAGGATGTGGAGAAATTGGAACCCTGATACATTGTTGGCAGATTGTAAAATGGTACAACTGCTGTGCAAAAACAGCTTGGAAGTTGCTCAAATGTTGAATATGGAGTTGCCACATGATACAACAATTTCACTCCTAGGGAGGGAGGTATGGAGGTAGGTAGACAGATATGTGTGTGTGTGTGTGTGTATGTGTGTGTGTGTGTGTGTGTGTGTGTGTGTGTGTGTGTGTGTGTATGAGAATTTAAGACGTATGTCCACACAAAACTTGTACATAAATGTTCTGAGCATCATTATTCAAAATAGCCAAAAAGTGGAAACAACCAAATGTCCATCAATTGATGAATAAATAAACAATATGTGGTATATTCAAACAGTGGAATATTACTCAACTGTTGGGAAAAGCCCCATTTGGTTTCAGGAACTGTAGCCCTGCCGACAGGCAAGAGGGCCCCAAGGCTGGAGCTAATCAAGGAGGGCTTGGGAAAACAGGCCACTGAGGAGATAAAATCTGTCCCCCAGCAGGTTAGTGGTTGCCAGGGGCTGAGAAAAGGACAATGAGTAATGACTGTTAGTGGGTACAGGGTTTCTTTTCAGGATGATGAAAATGTCTTAAAATTGATTGTGGCAATGGTTGCACAACTTTGTGAGTATCTAAATACCATTGAAGTATATTTTTTTGGTGACATTGTTACTATGCATTTAAATTTTTTTCAATTGTGGTAAAATACATATAAAATTTACACCTGTTTGCAGTTTAGTGCACTAAGTACATTCACATTGTTGTGCAGCCCGCACCACCATCCGTCTCCAAAAACTCTTTTCATCTTGGAAAACTCGAACTCTGTACCCATTAAACAATAATTCCCCATTCACCCTCCCCCCAGCCACTGGCGACCACTATTGTACTCTCTATCTCTATGATTTTGACTATTCTAGGTATCTCATATATAAGTGGAATCATGTAGAATTTGTTCTTTTGTGACTAGCTTGTTTCACTTAGCATAGTGTCAAGGTTCATCTATGTTGTATTATGTGTCAGAATTTCCTACTTTTTTTAAGGCTGAATAATATCCCATTGCATGTATACACTGCATTTTGTTTATTCATTCATTCAGTGATGGACACTTGGATTGTTTCTACATTAGACTATTGTGAATGATGCTGCTATGCACACAAGTATACAATTTTGTGTTTGTGTCCCTGCTTTGAATTCTTTTGGGTATATACTCTGAGGTGGAACTGCTGGATCAGAAAGTAATTCTATTTTTAATGTTTTGAAGAACTCCCATACTGTTTTCCATAATAGCTATATCATTTTACACTGAACTCTTTAAAATGGTGAATTTTATGGTATATGAGTTACATCTCAATAAAACTGTTAAAAATATGAAAAGTACCAATTCTCAGAGGGCCCATAATCTAATAGTGTGAAGAAGAAAAGTTCACAATATCCATGCTAAAGGTAAAGTTAAGTGATGTGAGAAGTTTAAATGTCTTTGATGATTCAAAAGAAAGATTATATTTGGTTCAATGATTCGAGAAAAGCTTCTTGAATTAAGATATTTGAAGAAAGATCATACTGCGTGGGTGATGACTTCCATCACTGGAAGTAGCTGAAGTACACCCAAGCAGGTGAAGTAGGAACTATCCAGGCTGGGGAAAGAAAAGGGATAGGAAATAATGTTTTGAACAAAGGCAAGAAGAATAGAAAATGAAGAAAAAGCATTCATTGGTAGAAATGTTGCTACTCCTTCCCCATACCATTTCATTTTCCTCCTGGACCCATAAGAGACTGTGTTTTCACATCCCTTGTATCCTGGTAGGGCCTGTGACTATTTCTGTGCAATAAAATGGCTAGGGTGTGTGTGGGATCTACAAATGGCCCATAAAATCCCTCACAAGATCTCTCATTATTGCCTGAAGATAGAAAATGCAGAGAACAAACTCGGAGGCCTTGAAAGAGATCTTAAAGACCAAATCCAGCCCAAAGCCTGTTTCTGCATTGCCTGCAAGCTAAAAATGTTTTTACATTTTAAACAGTTGAAAAACTAAAAAAAAAAAAAAAAAAATAGTATTTTATGGCACAATAAATTATATCAAATTCAAATTTCAGTGTTTAGAGAGAAAGTTTTATTGGAATACAACCATGCTAATTTGTTTTTGTGTTCTCTATGGCTGTTTTATGCTCAAAGGAAGGGTTGGGTAGTTGCAACAGAGACCATACGACCCACAAAGCCTAAAATATTAGCTATCTGGTACTTCACAGAAAAAGTTTGCTGACCCACATCCAAGAGGATGACAGAGCTGCTAGTTGGGAAGAGCCGGGTCCTAGAATGACCTAGCAGAGCATACGGAAAATAAGCCTCTATTGGGTTAAGCTATAGAGATCCTTGGGTTACCTGTTACATCAGCAGGTTATCTGTTACCTAACCAACCCACTGTGGGTAAAACAGCTTTGTGAAAGCCATTTATATATATCATATGCTCCCATACTTCCTGTTGACTAACTTTAGGGATTGGTTTTGAACATAGAATATTTCAGTCATAATCATTTCTGATTTCATTTCTCTGGAATATAGTTACTTAATTTTCAAATTTTATTAACTTATTTTATATTATTTATAATTAATAACTATATTAAATTATTAAGACATTTAGTTTTCCAAATCTGCTAAATATCTGCATTTCACTCAATAACAAGAAGGCTTAATAGCTCTCACTGCTCTAGCAACTTGTATCCTACACTTTAGCCTGGGTAGAGTGTGGGGTTCAAAACCCCAGGCACCCAGCTTTCATACCAAAGGTCTACAATTATAGAAGTCATGATCCCACAGGGACAATAACAATAAGATTAGTGAGAAGTTACATGAAAGTTCTCTGTGAACTGTAACATAAGGTAAGTGGTACCTTAGAATTGCAAACAGAGCAGGGAAGGGGAGCCACCTTGTGCAGGTAGAGTACAGTTCTTCAGGGCTCACCTCTCAGAGCAGGTCTGCCCAGGGGTCGCTGGGGCTGCAAACCAACCCATAATCCAACCCAGTACAACAGCGGAAGAGATCGATGCCTTTTACAAGTGTCCTAGCCATCATTTTAGATCTCCTTTAGTTTAGTTCTATAAACGCACACTTTTCATTTAATCATGGAAATAAAAACATATATGAAAGCACGATACCCCTGAAAACACAGCTTTGAACTGCGTAGGCCTCCTTATATGTGGATTTTTTCAATAAATACAGCAAATGTATTTTCACTTCCTCATGATTTTCTTAATATTTTTTTTCTCTAGCTTCCTTTACTGTAAGAACACAGTATAAAATACATATGACATACAAAATATGTGCTCATCAACTATGTTATCAGTAAGGCTTCTGGTCAACAGTAGGCAATTAGTAGTAAAGTTTTGGGGAAGTCAAAGTTACACATGGATTTTCAGTTGCTCAGGGAATTGGCCCCTCCAAACCCCTGCATTTTTCAAGAGTCAACTAGATATATTTCTTTCAAAAAGTCCTTAACTCCTAACATCTCTGCTCACACGCCTGTGACCTCAAAATATTCAGCACTGTCTGATAAAGGGCTGAAGGACCAAGCTTTTCACTGTTGGTTATTGTGTTTTCATTGGTCCATATTGTATTTATACTGAATTTAGTTCACTAATTTTTCCTCATTAAACACAGACAGTGGCAAGGAGTCCTGCTCTGCTACCAGATTACTGTCTTTACCTGCCATGGAATTAAATTTGGTCAGAAACCTCTTCTACTGAAAGAAGTCAATAAAGAAGAAGGGACGCTTTATCTCCTGGCTCTGCACTTTTTGGTCAGCTGCAGCCTTCTCCCCTCCTGACGGCTGAGCTGCGCTGAGAAGCTGGGGCATGGGCTCACGGAAGCTCAGGGGTGGGGTTTTGTCAGGAGGCACAGAAGATGGGCAATGAATTGCGCAGTTTGAGGACATTGGCAAGAGGGTGGCTGAAGTGGTAAATCTGGAAATTAAAGTTGAATAGTAGAAAAAGTAAAGCATTTCTGGTCAAGTAATGGATATAGTTAGAATAACGAGCTAAGAGATGTGTGAAAAGATACCAGGTTGTGGTGAAAAGGTGAGATGTCAAATGTCAGAAGTAGAGAAATGTTCGGGTAAGGAAAAGACCTACCGTGAGGCCATAAATGTGGGTCACAGAAGTAAAGAAAGGCGAACGCCACTGGATCTAAGGAAGCAAAAGAACCCAAAGCAACAAGGTTCGATGAACTGTCCACACAGAAATGAAGACAATCAGATTGGCAGCAGGATCCAGGCCCAACTGGTAACTGTGAGCCAGGTACCAAAATTTTCAGCAAATAAGAGGGAGCAATAACAGCAATGAGGAGGGATAGAGAAACTTGAACCGATGGCAGGACCACAGAGGAGACTGTCCTGAAAGGATTAGAAAGCGACGCTGAAGTCCATGGAGCGTAAGACAGGTAGTACCGTTGTCCTGGGAGGGCTGCAGGGGAAGCAGGTGCCCAGGGTAAGCCAGGAATCAAGCAGAAGACAGGGGAAGGAGCGGTGAGTGAAGCAGACAAGGCTGTAGGCAAGTGCGGGAGGGCACAGTGTGCAGTGGGAGATTACATCACAAAGACAAAACGCAGAGCAATATGGGGAGAAACATGAAGAAAGGGAATTAACCAAACTCAGTTTATTTTTATCCACATTGTCTTTTGTATATTTAAAATGTTTCTTTTTCTTTTTTCAAATATTTTTCAGAACAATGTGGGGTATACTTAAAAAAAAAAACTTCAAACTTGTAAACATTCCATGCCAGACAAACCTGAAGTCTTTTTAAAAAGGCTTGCAAAGAAGAAATAGGGAACTCTCAAGCCATGGTTAACAAGCAATACAGATAAACTTAGTTTGGCTATTATTTTGCATTAATTATTCCTGGCTTGAAGGAATATAAGGAAGAAGAAACAAGTAAGTACACAACTAGAAACAAATATTGGTGTTGCTGAAAGACTACCAAAAAAAGAACACTCATATTTCTTTGTCACATTATGTATCCACCTCCTTAAAAAAAAAAAATCACAAGTGAACATGGTCAGTGCTGGAAGGAGCTCAATGTGTTTGTACTAAAGACACACTATTTTTAACGGGCAATTTGCACATCTCATGCCCTTTCCCCTTTTACCAATCCACCCAATACCCTCCCATCAAAATTTTCTCAGTATCTATGAGTTTGTTTCTGGTTTGTTTGTTCATTTATTCTGTTTTTTAGATTCCACATATAAGTAAATCATATATTTACCTTTCTCTGTCTGACTTATTTCACTTGGCATAACCTCTAGGCCCATTCATGTTGTCACAAACAGAAAGATTTCAATAGTGCTCCATTGTATATGGCAGGTACCACTATGGCATCAGATGGGTACTAGACTTACCAGGGTGATCACTTCGTAAGTTATGTAAATGGCTAATCACTACGATGTATGCCTGAAACTAATATTATATGTCAAATGGAATTGAAAGTATTTTTAAAAGACATATTATTTTATAGTAAAACTTGACTGAGATAACAAACTAAGAAAGACATATAGTAATATCTTTCCCTCCAGGTTGGGTTGGGTGCTAAAGGGCCAAGCGGGGGTTAATAAAGTTGATGCATTTAGTAAACTATGAACTTGCTCCCCCGAAAGACTGTACATGAGCTGTAACATATAACATTATCCCTCTCATTCCATGGGGTTTAAAATCCACACAAGACCATTCTTGGGCCAAGACTAAGAGCAAGTGGAGATTAAGAAGTGGCTCAAAGAAGGCAATCAGAGATTTAGCTTCTAAGGAATGAAAACATTTGTTTGGGAAAATTCCAGGGGTCAAAGGTAGAGATGCCCCTGCTTCAAAGTTCAGATGGATTTGTGGACAGTGGTTTCAAAGTAGAAGTGACTGGTTCTAGGGACCAGAAAGACAGAGCATTCCAAATGCTTACCCACAAGAGTGACAGGACACACCTAAAAATGTGGTACAAATAATAATCATTGTTGGGAGACCCAAGAGTGACAGATTCATACAGGGAAGAGGTTGAGGTGAGTGAAGAATGCCCAGACCATTTGTGTGCAGCTCCTGGTTGAGAAGCTTAGTGTCTCTGGGCCTCACAGGCAAAAATGAAGATAGTTCATGGGCCAGGCTAAAAATTAAGTTAGCTAACACATGTAATGTATTTACCATAGAACCTGGCAGCTGGTGGTCCTAAGCAAATGATAGTAGCACTGTACATGTGCAGATTTGGAGAATGACATTAACTACCCCATGTTCTTACCAAGAACGCCCACTGAGGAGATGGGGCGTGCCGACGCTGTTTTCCAGGATGCTCCGGAGGGAACTGACCACCTATTTGCATTCCTTTCAGCAAAGAAAGCATACTGCAGGGCTCTGGCCTGCCCTGATTGCCGAAGGTACATGAACAGCTCCTCCTCCTTCTTGGCGCCCACCTCATAGGGATACTGTACAGCAGCCTGGACTGCGCGGACACAAGCCTCCTGAGAAAGGCACCCAGGATGCTGCTTCCGCATCTTCAGAAGGGCTTCACTGAAAATAGCGTCCATGTTGGGCAAGCTCTGAACTGGCTTGATGAAGAGTCTACGGGATTCTAGGGGCTGATCTGAAAGAAAGAGGAAAGAAAATCAGATCTTTGGAAATGTTACCTCTACTAAAGGAAAATAAGTAAATAACAAGGATAATACTCTGTTCAACTTCAAAGTACAAAATTAAATGCTACTCGACAAGATATTTAATGTAACACCAATACCAAAGTCTCTAACTTAGTCTCTAAAGTCTTTGCAACTTAGTTCTGCAAGAATTTAATAGATTCAATGTAATTTCAAGTTACCTAATTCAGTCATAAAGGCAGCATTTGCCTATTATTCCAATTTCATAATGGGTTAAATATTAATCTGTCAGTCAGTTTAAGGAAAATAGCTCTGAATTAGTAATATTTTAGATTCAAAGTAATTTTAGCCTAATTCCTAATAGTAACAAAAGCTTAAAAATACCTAGAAAAGAAGACAGTGTGATATTGGTACTAGGACAGACATACAAATCAATGGAAGAGAAGTGAGCGCTCAGAAATAAATTCTTATAATTAATGCCAACTGATTTTCAACAAAGGTGTCTAAACAATTCATAAGAGAAAAAAAGAAGAGTTTTTTTCAACAGATAGCACTGAGACAACTGGATATCCATATGCAAAAAATAAATAAACTTAGATCCCTATCTAAAACCATATATAAAAATTAACTCAAAATGGATCATAAATCTGAATTGAAGACCTAAAAATAGAAAAAATTCTAGAATTAAATCTAGGAGAAACCTTTGTGACATTGGGTTAGGTAAAGTGTTTTTAGCACGACCCATGAAAGAGAAATCAGTCAATTGATTAGACTTTATTAAAACTAAAAATTTCTGTACTTCAAAGAACACCATTAAGAAAATGAGCCCTGGTTGGTATGGCTCAGTGGACTGAGCACCAGCCTGCGAACCAAAGGGTTGCCGGTTCAATTCCCAGTCTAGGGCACATGCCTGGGTTGTAGGCCAGGTCCCCAGTAGGGGGTACGTGAGAGGCAACCGCACACTGATGTTTCTCTCCCTTTCTTTCTCCCTCCCTTCCCCTCTCAAAATAAATAAAAAATTTAAAAAAAAAAATGATTAAGCCATAGACTGAGAAAATATTTGCATTGTAGCCAGAATGATGACTGCTCCCTCACTGCCAAATGTCCAGAACTTACAAATTTATTACTTTACATGGCAAAGGGAATATACAGATACGACTAAGGTTAAAGACCTTGAGATGTGAAATGTGGAGATTGTCCTGGATTATCCAGGTTGGCCCAACCTAATCATATGAGTCCTTAAACGAGGAGAACATTTCCTGGTTACAGTGAAGAAGAGGTTTGATGAGGAAGGGTCAGAAAGATGCGACATGGGAAAGACTCAACCTGTTGGTAACGATGTGGCTTTGACGATGGAGGAAAGGGGCCAAGAACCAAGAAACACCGTGGCCTCTAGACGCTAGGAACGGCCCTCAGCTTACAGCCAGCAAGAACACAGGACCTTGGTTCTACAATGCAAGGTACTGAATTCCACTGACAGTGGATTCTCTCCTATAGCCTTTAGAAAGGAGTGAAGCAGCATATACTCCATTAAGAACCCTACCAGACTTTTGGCCTATAGATAGGTAAGAAAATCAATTAGTGTCATTTAAACTGCTAAGTTTGTGGTAATTTATTATCAAAGCTATAGAAAATAAAATATATAATAAAGAATTCATATTCACAATATATAAAGGACTCTGCCCTGACTGGCGTGGCTCGGTTGGTTGGACATCATCCTGCAAAGCAAAAAGTTGCCCATTCTGTTCCCAGTCAGGACATTCGCCTGGGTTGTGGATTTGGTCCCCAGTTGGCATGCATACAAGAAGCAACAGATCGATGTTTCTCTCCCTATTTCCCTCCCTCCCCCCCAAAAAATAAAATCCTGTGTGTGTGTGTGTGTGTGTGTGTGTGTGTGTGTGTGTGTGTATGACACTGATGACTCAATAATAAGAGGGCAAACAACCCAATTTTTTAAACAGGCAAAATTTGAGTGGCTATTTCACCAAAGAGGATATACAAAGGGCTAATAAGCATGTGAAAAGATGTTTCACATCATTAGTCTTAGGGAAATGCGAATTCAAACCACAATGAGCATGTACACAGGTTCTAAACAACGTCATTTCTGAGATTAAAGTAGAAAAATCTCTGGCTTCGGTCTTGCTCTTGCTCTTTCACTTCCTCCCTCTGATGGAAGCCAGCTGACTTGTGAGAGCAGTCCTTGGTGAAGCCCTTGTGTCAAAGAGCTGAAGGAGGCTTTCGGCCAACAGCCACAGAGGAACTGAGGCCTTCAGTTTAATGGACTATAAGGAACCAAATCCTTCCAGCGCCCAAGTGAGCTTCTCCCAGTCTAGCCTGGGAAGCAGACCCTCTCCCAGTCTAGCCTTAAGATGAATACAGCCCCCTCCACACCCTGAATGTAACATTACGTGAAATCCTAAATCAGAGGATTTAGCCAACCACACCAGATTCCTGACCCACTGAAATAGTAAGATTTTAATAAATGTTTGATTTTAAGCAGCTGTTTGGGGGTAATATGTTATGCAATTATATATAATTAATACATACCCACTAAAATGACTAGAGTCAAAAAGACATCAATATCAAATGTTGGTGATGATGTGGAGAAACTGGAACCTTGATACATTGCTTGGGACAATGTAAACTAGTATATCCACTTTAGAAATCAGTTTGACAGTTTCTTTAAAAAAAAAAACATAAACTTACTGTTTAACCCAGAAATTTCACTCCTAGCAACCGACCCAAGAGAAATGAAAATATGTATGTCCATATAAAACATATATGAATATTCGTAAGGCTCAAAATTGGAAAAATCCAAATATCCATCAACTGACAAAAAAAGAAAATGTGGTATAGCCATACAAGGGAACACTACTCAGCATAAAAGGAACAAACTACTGATAGATGCTACAGATGAACCTCAAAAACATTATACTAACTGAAAGAAGCCAGATGCAACGATTACCTATTGTATGATGCCATTTATAGTATATGTCCAGAAAAGACAAATGTATAAAAATGGACAGATCTGTGGTTGGCTAGGGCTGAGGGTTAGCTCATGCCCCCAAAAGATCAGGAGGGGATTTTTTGGGGTGGGAAAATCCTAAGACTGATTCATGAAGATGGTTACATAACTCTATAAGGCAAATTACACCTCATTAAAGCTGTTAAAAATTTCTAGAAAGAAATTTATCATGAAAGGTGTTAAGAAGATAATATAACATTTCATTGAAGAATATAAACAAAGACCTTAATAAAGAGAGAGAGAGAGAGACCATGTTCCTGGATATAAATATATAATAGCATGAAAATATAAGTATTTCCATATATGTACATTATATGTAAATATCTAATCATAACCCTTATTCTATTTTTTAAAAACTCAATAGAATGATTTTAAAGTTTGCATAAAAGAATAAATATATGACAAATTACACTATCAATACTGTTTTTTAAAACAGTATACCATAAACTGTTTTCTAAAAAGTGCTACCATCTCTTCAAGAATAAACCATTGTATCAAAAATGTATACCTTAATTAGAGGAAAAAAACCTACCAAACCTCATAAGCAGTTTCACTATAAAAAGACACGAATGTGATGCCTGGCATCCCTGTGTTACTATGTGTCCAATGGACAGTGAGTAAGGTTGGGATGTAATTATGTCCACTTGGAAGTACATCTGTGAAGCATTATATAATTTCATCAACCTTTTTAACCTAGGAGGGGAGACTATATTAATGCTTGACTACTATTTAGAATTGAAAAGAATTAATTTTAAAATTGACACTTTCCCATATGATGTTAAGAATAGGATTCAAGAACAGAAGGAAAGATGGTAGTTAGCAGCATTGTAGTCTCTCTCTGTTCACCTTGCTCTTGTCGGAAAACATGAGCTCTATCCAACAAGCTACCAATTATTTGCTCATTTATCCAATGAGTTAGCTCAATGCTCAATTTATGAGAAGGCAAGCTCAGCAGAGAAGGAGGGAAACCTTTCCAAGGCCTGACTGAATTGTTGGTGGCCCAAAAGGAAGACAAGAGTGGACAGAAGGGAGAGGAAGAGGGAGAAGACAAGTGTAAGAAATCAAGTGGAGGGCCAAGTGGACGAGGGAGGAAGGCTGAGCTGCCAGCGTGGTGACCTAAAAGGAGCTGATGTGGGGTACAGGCATAGGCTGGGAGAGCGGATCTCTGTCCTTGTAACATTGCCGCTGTTGCCAGCATAACCGGTAGCTTCTCAGCACCACCACCGCACACGTAAGAGTTACTTGAGGAGTTTAAAAAGTTCAGATCCCCAGGCCCCACCGTAGACTCTGTTAAGAGTCTTTAAGAATGTGGCCATGACATGAATATTTTTTAACATTCAGCCATTGATTTTGAGGTGTAGCTTCTGGGAGGTCCAAAAGCAGAGTGTTATGTCAGCCACTGTTTCAAGGACGGCCACAGCTTCTGGCAAATTTACCCTAGGCCAGAGATTAAAAAGAAAGAAGAAAAGAAAAAAGAAAAAAAAAGAGACAAGAAATAATAAAAGCAAAGCTTGCTTAATGACATGCAGTAAATACTGCTCATCAGCATAATCCAGTTATCTTGGGGACGCTTAGGACCTCTCAGGCTGCAGGTGGGCATCCAGGGAGCTACCGACGGCACATGTCCAGACCAGCCTTGGGCCAGGCGAAGTGTGTCCACTGGAGAGTTTGAGATCGGGGCACTGTCATAGATGGTTTTCCCCTGTACAATTACCTATCCTTTTCTTGCTGTAGCTGTAACTGAAGAATGTTATTATCTTACAATTTCAGTTTATTACTACAAAATATATTCAGAATTCCTCCTTTGGGTCTACAGGTCTGGTGTTTTCAACGTGTATTTGTTATATACTTGGTGATTTTAGAGTCCTGGTAGTTTTAAAGTCACTCAGCTGTACCTACATAATAAGAGAGGCAATAAGAGCAGCTCAGCACCAGCATTCAATGCACAGGAAAATGGGTAAGAGGAGA